ACGGCACCTTTCAGGGCCTCCTCTGCCTTCAGAGTACACCCAGCCTCCCAGCGCTGTTTCTGTGCCTCTGTTACCCGCTCCATCAACCTTTGATCCACAGCGCCTGCTGCCCCCTTTCACGCACCCCAGTCCATCCGGAGCTTCTCTAACCGCTCCTGCCCCTCCCTCTGTTGGCCCCTCCCTCTGTTGGCCTCTCTGATGAGCATGTCTGTCATGTTCTGACTTATCCTTCCTGCAAAGTCTGGCTCAAATGCTGACCCTTCCATTTGCCTCCTCAGCTACACATGCTCTCTCCCCTAGACATGCACACACACACACACACACACACGGCACAGACACACATACACAGACACCGGGCACGGGTACACACACACAGACACACACAACACAAACACACACACACACACAGCATAGACACAGCTCACACAGCACACACACACACACAGCACACACACAGCACGCACACACAGAGACACACATGCACACACAGACACACACACACACAGCACACACACACACAGCACACACACACAGACACACACACACAGACACACACACACAGACATACACACACACACACACACTCACACACACAGGGCACACACAGAATCCTGGACCATTTCCTCCTGGATCTGGTTGTCACGCAGATGGTGAAGGATGGGAGGGGAGTCCTAGCTGATTTGGCTCAGTGGATAGAGCTTGGGCCTTCAGAATGAAAGGTCCCGGGTTTGATTCAATTCAAGGACACATGTCTGGGTTGCGGGCTTGATCCCCAGGGGGCGTGCGTGCAGAAGGCAGCTGATAGATGATTCTTTCTCATCATTGATGTTCCCTCCCCCTCTTGATTCTGCTCTCCCTTCCTCTCTGAAACCAATAAAAATGTACTTAAAAAACAAAAAAGGATGGGAGGGGAGCGGCTTCCTGTGCTTCTCAGATGTGGCCCAGAGGCTTGGTTTTATTTTTTTTAATTTTTAAAATATATTTTATTGATTTTTTACAGAGAGGTAGAGAGAGGGATAGAGAGTGAGAAACATCGATGAAAGAGAATCATCGACCAGCTGCCTCTTGCACACCCCCTACTGGGGATGTGCCCGCAACCAAGGTACGAGGCTTGTTTTAATGCCGGTGAGGACAGCGGTGCCTTTCGTAAAGCGGGGAAACCCAGGCCTGAGCAGAGACCTGGGTCCCAGTGCCTCCCTGCGGAGTCCCTGCCGCTCCTCCCACCCGGGCTGTCTGCCCCTGGCCCGTGGCGTCCCTCCGGGCTGGTCCCGCTCTGCACGGCTGCCGTGCGCACGGGGCTGGCACACACCCCGGTACCCAGGACCGGAGCCCTATCAGCCACTCACATCTCAGCGGCAGGAGTGATCACATCGTCCCGGAAGGAATGTTTGCTGGGCGGAGGCAGCTGCCAAAGGGGACCGTGCCCGGGAGTGTAGGAGAGAGGACACCACCCTGGCTGAGAGGGGCGGGGCGGGGCGGGGGGGGCACCCTCCCCAGGGCTGGCGGTGCACGGTCCTGGGGAGAGAAGGGCCTTGCCGGGCACCAGGACTTCGCCGGGCCTTCCAGAGGCTCGCCCGGGGGCAGCCCGCTGAGCGCGGATGGCAGCGCTGTCAGGGCGCGCGGTCCACGGCGCGGGTGGCTGGCGGGACCTGCCCCGGCACAGCGGCTCGGTGCCCGTCCGGAGACCCACCCATCACCGCAGAGGGTGGGCGGCCCGGCCAGCGCAGGCTGGAGGGCGGCCAGGCGTGTGTTTTCCCAGCACAATGCCTGGGCCAACTCCTAAAGCTGCCAACTGCAACGCGAAGACTGTACGTTTCTGAGATTCGTCCCGCCCTGATTTATCAGCCTCCTCCCACCCTGGGCTCTACGGCCACAGCATCGGCGGGAACGCACCCTGCTGTTTGCCTGCAGCAGTAGCTACACTCACCACTCACGGTCAAAAACCCTCCTGGGGGGAAAGAAAGTGAGAGAAGGCATAAGCACCATTGAGATCCATTCCCATCAAAGTCTTTGTAAAAAATTAATTAAAAAATATATGTTTTTATTGATTTCAGAGAGGAAGGGAGGGGAGGAGGGGGAGAGAGAGAGAGAGAGAGAGAGAGAGAGAGAGATCAATGATGAGAGAAAATCACTGACTGGCTGCCTCTCGGATTTGTCATTCTGCAGAGAGGGGCCAATCGGGATTGAGCTCTCAAGCTGGGCCTGTGCTCGGATCAGGAATTGGACCGTGACCTCCTGGTTCAGAGGTCGACACTCATCCTCTGAGCCTCACTGGCCAGGCCAGGGCCTGACGACCGTGGCCATCTGGAGTGTAATTTTGTTTGTTTGTTTGTTTTTCTCTGACTTTGGTCGTGAGCTCTTTGAGGAAGCGCTGCCTGAGTCTCAGTCCCCCGGGTATCCCTAGGCCCTAACACATCACATGACACAAAAACGGGTGTCCTGTCAGGTCGCATCAAGGAGAGATTAGTGAGCGATTCCTCGCTGAGGCTCAAGCCCTTCGCCCATGGACAAGCGGTGGGCGGTGGAACTGGGACACGTGGCTGCTTCCCCTGCAGGCTGTGTCTCCGGCCAGGCCCCAGACAGGGAGCCAGCACGCTCGCCTGTGGCTCCCACATCGCAGACACAGAAGCCGCCTCAGCCCGCGACTTCACAGTGCACATGTGGGCTGGCACCTGACCCCCTAATCCTTCGGCCTCGCTGATTCCCGGGTGTTGGCACAGGAGGACTTGCCTTGGCACTGCCTCGCAGCGGGACAAGTCCAGACTTCTGTGCAGAGGAAGCTGGTTGCCGCAATGAAAGATTTATGGCCTTTTTTTCTTGTTTCTTTTTTTGAGAAGCATCATTTCTTTCCCACACCTTCCAAACCCCGAGAAGATGAGTGATGTGATACCGAGGTCTTGTGCAACTGTTTGCTGAGGATCCTCGCTCACCATGTGGATGCTGAGGAGGTGCCTCGGATAGGCCAATCCTGGACTCCGGGCCTGTGACATGTATTTGGGCTCTCAACCTGGATGCCGCCATTGGGCACCTGGTGGGGAATGCTCCGGGGCCACGGTGCCATGGGAATGGGTGTGCACTTGGCGACAGATGGCTCCCACTGGACTCTCACCCTCAGCAGTCCCTAGGGGGGTGGGGGGAGCCACACAACCTCTCTGTAAAATCAGGCGGTGCCTCTGAAGGCACTGTGGGGGCCAGAGCAAAGTGGGTACAGTGCGAGAAAAGTTTAACCAACATTCTTTCATTTGGTGGCTGGTGAGCAGCAATCCCGGTCTTCCTTCTCCCCTGCCAAGGCGAAGTCTCCTGTCTACCTCTGTTCTCCTCTCCCTTTCCCCTCTGCTCATGGGATCCCAGCTTCCATTTTCCTGCAGATGTGAATGAATGATCACCCGGTCACTCAGGCACTGGCGCTCCGCTTATCCTCTCCACTCGGACTTTTACATGCTGAGTGCCCATCACCCCGTGTGGAGTCTGTTACTGCCCCCCCACACACACACACGTTCAAATGCAGAGCTTCCGCCCCACGTGCAGAGCACAGGACAGAAGGACTCGGTGTCGGATGCTCTGGGCCGGCGCTCCGCTGGGCTTGGAGGCGGCTGTGCTGTGCGTCTCAGAGGAGCGGCTGCGTCTCCCGCTGCAGGGCACTGAGCGACTGCCCCTCTGCAGGATGGCCGCTCTGCTCCCCGTCCGGGCTGTCACCTTCAGGCTGTCCGCTCCGGGCCGTCCCCTCCGGGCCGTCCGCTCCGGGCCGTCCGCTCCGGGCCGTCCCATCCAGGCCATCAGCTCCGGGCCGTCCGCTCCGGGCTGTCCCCTCCGGGCCGTCCCCTCCGGGCCGTGCCCTGCAGGCCGTCCGCTCCGGGCCGTCCCCTCCGGGCCGTCCGCTCCGGGCCGTCCGCTCCGGGCCATCCGCTCCGGGCCGTCCGCTCCGGGCCGTCCCCTCCGGGCCGTGCCCTGCAGGCCGTCCGCTCCGGGCCGTGAGCTCCGGGCCGTCTCCTCCGGGCCGTCTCCTCCGGGCCGTGCCCTCCGGGCCATCAGCTCCGGGCCGTCCGCTCCGGGCCGTGCCCTGCAGGCCGTCCGCTCCGGGCCGTCCGCTCCGGGCTGTCCCCTCCGGGCCGTCCGCTCCGGGCTGTCCCCTCCGGGCCGTGCCCTGCAGGCCGTCCGCTCCGGGCCGTCCGCTCCGGGCTGTCCCCTCGGGGCCGTCCGCTCCGGGCCGTCCCCTCCGGGCCGTGCCCTGCAGGCCGTCAGCTCAGCGGACAGGGAGCAGGTCTGCGAGGAGCCGGGCAGCGCGGACAGGACGGCAGCGCGCGGCGCCAGAAGGCGGCCCGCGGGCGCGGGGCCTCGCGGCCTCCAGAGGGCGCTGCGATCCACGCGGAGGCCCGGGCTCCGGGGCGGGGCTGGCCGCCGGCAGGGGGTCCCGGAGAGGAGACCCCGCGGTTCACGGAGCAGGAGCGGGAGGACGCGCGGCCGGGCCCGCGCCCCGGCTCCTGCGCACGGAGACCCGCCTTCAGCCGATGGCGCGGCCGGAGGATGCCCCTCCCGGTGCGGGCCGGGGCGGGGGCCGGGGTGTGCGGAGGGGGAGCGGAGGGGGACCGCAGCGTGCGGTGGAGGTGAGGGACTGTCCCCGGCCCCGGCCCCGGCCCCGGCGCGGGAGCCAGAGGATTCCTAGCGGGACAGGGCCTGGGGGGCAGCCACGGACGCACGGGCCGTCTCCGAGCAGAAAACGGAGTGAGACGGTGGCCGGAGCCTCCTCGCCACGCCGTCCCGCACGGCAGCCGCCGGCGGGATCCGGGCGCGGCACCCGGGCCGCCGCCGCTGCCACCCCGCCCGCCGCCGGCAGGGGGCGCCGCGCGGCTAAAAGGCGCGGCGGGCGGCGGCGGCCTCAGAGCGCGCGGCGCGGGACGGCGGAGACGGGCGGGCAGAGCGCACCGCGCAGCGCACACCTGCCGATCGGCGGCCCCGCGGCGCCCCCCAGCCTCCCCTCCGGCGGCGCCCCCGACCACCCCCGCCGCCCCGCCCCGATGGCGCCGGAGGCCGGGGCGCCCTGGGCGGCGCTGCTGCTGCTGGCGGCGCTGGCGCCCGCGCTCTCCGCGGCCGCGGCTGCAGGTACGCGCCCGGGGCTGCCCGGCCCCCAACCGTCCGGCCCCGCACCCCGCCGGCCGCGGCTCTGTCTCTGACCCGGGCTCCCCGCTCGCGGGCCGGGGCGCGGGTTCGGATGGGGACCCCGAGTCCCGCGCGCAGGAGGGAGCCAGGGGCCCCAGGCTCGTCCCGGACCCGACGGCTCCGCGCCCGGGAGCCGGGAGCCGGGGGCCGGGGGCCGGGGGCCGGGAGCCGGGAGCCGGGGGCCGGGGGCCGGGAGCCGGGAGCCGGGGGCCGGGAGCCGGGGGCCGGGGGCCGGGAGACGGGAGCCGGGGCCGGGGGCCGGGGGCCGGGGGCCGGGAGCCGGGAGCCCGGAGCCCGGAGCCGGGGGCGGGGGCCGGGGGCCGGGAGCCCGGAGCTGGGGCCGGGGACCGGGGGCCGGGGGCCGGGGCCGGGGCCGGGGGCCGGGGCCGGGGGCCGGGGGCCGGGGGCCGGGGCCGGGGCCGGGGACCGGGGGCCGGGGGCCGGGGCCGGGGCCGGGGGCCGGGGGCCGGGGCCGGGAGAGGCGGCGAACGGGGCGCGGGGAGAGCCGCTCGTTGGAGGCGCCGGGCGGGCGATGCCTTCCTTGGCCCGGGCGCCTGCTGCCCCCGCCACCTGCCCGGGGCGGGTGCCCGCTGGGGCGGGGGCAGGCGGCCGCCCGGGAGGCGGGGGAGGCGCGGGCTCCGGGCGGTGGTGCCGGGCGGCCGGGGAAGCGCGCTCCGGCGGGAACCGGAGCTGCGGGGACCGGTCTGGGCGCAGGGGACGCAGGGCCAGGGGTTCCGGAGCCTGGGTGTCCGGGTCTGCAGGAACCCAAGGAGCCCGCTTTTGTCCCTGCCGCCCCCTCCCAGCCGGCTGTGAAAGTCAGGTGCCACCGGGGCCCCTCTGCGAAGGATGCTGCTCAGGGCTCTGTGGCCGCCCGCTCCAGGGGACGGCTGTTGGGGTCACACGGCCTCTTGATTCTCCGCGGAGGGCACCCTGCCCGGGCTGGCTGCCGGTGCGCCAGGGGCTGGGGTGCCGGACGCCACTTTCTCCTAAAGGACAGTCGCCGTCCTTGTCGCTGTCCTCTCCGGGAGAGCAGTCGCTTAACAGCATAAAACCAAAGCTCTCGCCTTCTCCACCGACAGCCCACGCCTTCTCCTCTCCGAAAGGGCCTTTTCTGGAGGCTGAAAGAGGTTTTGTTTCGGAAGGCGGGCTGCAAGGGAACCGATGCCAGGCTGGCTTCGAGATGGTTCCAGCTTTGTGCCTGTTAGATTCCACTGCCACCTGCCCAGGGCGCTGCCCGGGGCGGGGGCGTCGGGGGGGGGGGCAGTCCGGGCATCCACCCCCGGCCTTGGGCTCTGCCGGCTGGGCTGGGCAATGCTGGGCCGAAGGAGCCCTGGCTGGCACTCCTCTCCCGTATGCTGGTGTGGAGTTTGCAGTAAAAGGATGACCAGACGGGGCATGGACAGGGGGACAAGCACAGTCTGAAGTAGGTGTTTCCCGTTTACAAGGAGGATGGAAGGAAGGAAGGGAGGGAGGGAGGGAGGGAGGGAGGAAGGGAGGGAAGGAGGGGCAGACGTGCCCGTGGCCAGCTCTCGGCTGGGAAAGAGATCAGGGGGCACATAATGTGTTGCATCTGTGCTCTGGACCGGGTCCTGTCTGTCTGCTGGGCCTGACAGTGAGGCCGGGCCAGGGCGCCCTCTCTGGCTGAATCAGTGCCTGCGCCCCGGGAGCTGCCGGAGTCAGGCTCCCCCGCCCCCAGTAAACAGTGGCAGACCCACAGCTCCGAGGGGTGTCCCTGAGGACAGAGGCGGTGTGCAGGGCACGCTGAGGGTCTAAGTAAGCCCTTCACTTGGTGGTCAATTAAAACATAAAACAAGCAAGTGATCACCCCTCTACTCCCCCCACATGCATGCACACATGCCACCCTGGTGCTTGCCAGGAGATCTTTTCCTGAAAACATGGATACACACACTCACATGCATTTGTAGTGGTTTTCTTAGGGTAGCTGTGGGTGATTTTAATTTTTCCTTTAAAGCTTAAAGACCCTTTCCGGGAACCCGCAGGACCAACGCTGCTTTCCCAGTGATGCTGAGGCCCGCCCGCCTTTCCCGCTGCGTTGCGCTTGCCAGAAGGCTCACGCACGGGCTCGGTGGGTGAATCCGCGGGCGCGTTAGGCGAATCCAGGTCTTGGCACCGTAACGAACTAGTAGCCACTGCATGCTCAGCCTCTGAAGTGAAGGAAAGATACGCCAGTTTTAGTTAAGAATGTCCTTGGTGCAATAGTAAAAACTGAATTTGTCCCAATCCCTGCCCTTGCTGTTCTGTGTGAGGAGGTAGGAAGGCACACAGAACGCTTCTGCGGAAACCACGTTAGATGGGACCCCCTGGACAAGCACTGGCCCATGGTGTGAGCTGTGACCGGAAATAGCTGCTCCCCCCAAACACCACGCTCCCCAGAAAGAGTGACCGCAGACGGTCCCGCGTCTCTGCCTGAGTGTCCGGCAGACAGCGTCTGAGTGAGTGAGGGGGCCGGCCTCCGCAGGGGCATGACTGCTGGAGGTCCTGCCAGGGGCAGCATTCGAGCTTTCCAGAGGAAGTTAGAGTTTTGCCATCTCCAACTTCATTCATTTAGGAGCTTTTATACTTAACACCTTTTCTAGCAAGTTCCGCGGCGGTATCAATGGGTGTGAGATTGAAATGCTGTTACAAAGCATGCCGGCTTGTAGCTGATCTGCACAGCCAGGTGAACCTGTAGGTCCAAGTGACGGATGCGAGGTGTTACCCAGCCTGCCGGCCTGAACAGCCCACCCCAAACCCAGGAGCCCAAAGGACTTCTAAGGGGACCAAATGGAAGCATTTTCTTTTCTGGTTTCAGAGCCCCCATGGCAACTAGCCTGGAAGACACTTCTACTTGATGAATTTGGGCTTGTAGCAAAGGTTTTTCCAGAATGATCCATAAGGCGGTTACAGTGCTTTTTCCAACTCCGTATCTCTGTGAGGTTAGATTTTTTTTTTTTTTTTTCAGATGCTTCTACCAAACAGCTGCAGTAGACCGGAGGGATAGTGGACAAAGGGCCTGCCATCTTCTATTAGAGATTTGCCAAAATGCACAATCTCTTCTCACTATCTCTTTTTGGTTTAGAAAGCAGTTGTTATTATTTTCCCCCCATAAAATAGTTGTTCTCTGCAAACAGCTTTATTGTTTCATTTGGCCCAATGCCTGGGAGAGGGCTCCGGGGTGGTTGAAAGAATGGCCAGTGGTTTCGGGGAGAGGCTCAGGCTAAAGCCAGACCCCAGGGGGTGCAGAGGGGCCCGCCAAGGCCTCTGGCTCCACAGGCTCCGGGTCCAGCCCAGCCTGGGGCCGCAGCCTGCGGAGGGGAGTCTGTTGTCGCCCATCTCCTTGATGAGTTTCACCTCCTCACCTGGAAGCGGTTCTCCAGGAAGTGCCAGAGCTGAGGGCCTGCAGCTCCAAAGGGCCTGGGTCAGGCTTCTCTCCAAGGCCAGGGCCGTCTCCATGGCGCCCTGAGTTCTGCCCACTCATCTCGGGAGGTGTCAGCGTGTCCTGGAAGAGAACTCTGCCACCTGTGGTTTTGCATCTCATGAGTCCTGGTCCCCCTTGCTGGGAAGAAGGGGCCCCGCCCTCGAGAGCCACAGCATCCTGGTGGGGGGGGGGGGCTCTCCTGCGGCCAGCCTGCCTCCGGCTCTGCAGCGAGAGGAGGGGGAGCACGCCTTCCCTGGCCCCTGGCCCCTGTGCCTGGAGCCCACGCAGTGAAAGACCTGCTGTACTCACCAGCTGAGCGCCCGGCTCCTGGCTGTGGAGTCAGAGGTTGTACCAGGCTTGCAGAGAGACCATTCATGTCCCTGGAAAGACACCCCTGGAAGGTTCCAGAGCATCATCAATACGTCCTCCCAAGACCATTCATCTCTTTATTTCGGTCCTAAAGGCCCATTCCCTGAGCGTAGGCAGGGGACTGGCAGGGTGCATTACTTTCTATTGCTGTTGCCACAAATGACCACAGACGTGGTGGCTTAAACCCAAACCAATGTATCATCTTAGAAGCTCGAAGGATCTTGTGGGCTAGCAGCAAGGGCTGTGCTCCGTCTGCAGCCTCCAGGGCAGGAGCCAGCCCCCTCCCCCAGCTTCTAGAGGTGCCACGTGCCTCCGCTCTGAGCCCCGTAGGCAACCCCTCCCCTTACAGTCACAGGTTTCCCACGGCCTGTCTGCTCTCCCGCTCACAAGGACGCTGTGAGGACGCTGGACCCAGGGACAACCTCCCGGTGTCCGGACCTTTAATGGAATCACACCCGCCAAGTCCCTTTGCCCCGAAGGCCACATGCTCCCGCTCACAAGGACGCTGTGAGGACGCTGGACCCAGGGACAATCTCCCGGTGTCCGGACCTTTAATGGAATCACACCCGCCAAATCCCTTTGCCCCGAAGGCCACATGCTCCCAGGTTACAGAGATGAGGCCGGGCCACCTTCGGGGCGAGGGGAAACCCATCCCGCTGTGCTGGTTGGGGAGCAGACTTCTTCCCACCGTTCCTTGTGGAAACTGGAGATTTCTTAACCCCCTGCTCAGGAGCTCTTATTTTAGTTAGAAAATATAGAGGGGGTATTTAAAGGCATACGGATATGGGCGATAAAATAACACGTGTACAAGTACTTGTTAATAGCACATTGATGTTAGGGTACCCCAGAAACGAGCGTGGGTGCCTCAGGGGGGCACGTCACAGACTGTACAGTCACTTCTTCCTTTTACTAACCTAGCAGACGTGTGCCAGAGCCTGTGGGACCGGGCAGGTACCGGTTATGCAAATGAGCAAACATTCTCTTTTCCTTTTAGAAGTTATCCTTGTCTTAGTTACAAGGAATATGAATTAATTCAAATTCGGGGAGTTGTGTTATTACTCAGAAACATTCCCGGGACAGAGGGTTAACATTTAGAAGTTCTGACTGTGGCGTTTTTGTGCCGCTGAGCCGTAGGTGACATCATGTGGAAGACAGA